CACTACAGGTGTATCATTGTCTACAGTATCACACACTACAGGTGTATCATTGTCTACAGTATCACACACTACAGGTGTATCATTGTCTACAGTATCACACACTACAGGTGTATCATTGTCTACAGTATCACACACTACAGGTGTATCATTGTCTACAGTATCACACACTACAGGTGTATCATTGTCTACAGTATCACACACTACAGGTGTATCATTGTCTACAGTATCACACACTACAGGTGTATCATTGTCTACAGTATCACACACTACAGGTGTATCATTGTCTACAGTATCACACACTACAGGTGTATCATTGTCTACAGTATCACACACTACAGGTGTATCATTGTCTACAGTATCACACACTACAGGTGTATCATTGTCTACAGTATCACACACTACAGGTGTATCATTGTCTACAGTATCACACACTACAGGTGTATCATTGTCTACAGTATCACACACTACAGGTGTATCATTGTCTACAGTATCACACACTACAGGTGTATCATTGTCTACAGTATCACACACTACAGGTGTATCATTGTCTACAGTATCACACACTACAGGTGTATCATTGTCTACAGTATCACACACTACAGGTGTATCATTGTCTACAGTATCACACACTACAGGTGTATCATTGTCTACAGTATCACACACTACAGGTGTATCATTGTCTACAGTATCACACACTACAGGTGTATCATTATATACAGTATCACACACTACAGGTGTATCATTGTCTACAGTATCACACACTACAGGTGTATCATTATATACAGTATCACACACTACAGGTGTATCATTGTCTACAGTATCACACACTACAGGTGTATCATTGTCTACAGTAACACACACTACCTGCGTATCATTATATACAGTATCACACACTACAGGTGTATCATTGTCTACAGTATCACACACTACAGGTGTATCATTGTCTACAGTATCACATACTACAGGTGTATCATTATATACAGTAACCCACACTACATGTGTATCATTTTCTACAGTATCACACACTACAGGTGTATCATTATATACAGTAACACACAATACATGTGTAGCATTATATACAGTAACAGACACTACAGGTGTATCATTGTCTACAGTATCACACACTACAGGTGTATTATTATATACAGTAACACACACTACAGGTGTAGCATTATATACAGTAACACACATTTCTTGTGTATCATAGTCTATAGTATCACACACTACAGGTGTATCATCATATACAGTATAAGACACAACAGGTGTATCATAGTCTACAGTATCACACACTACAGGTGTATCATTATATACAGTATCACACACTACAGGTGTATCATAATCTACAGTATTACACACTGCAGGTGTATCATTATATACAGTATCACACGCTACTGTTGTATCATGGTCTACATTATCATCTACTTCAGGTGTATCACGGTCTACAGTAACACACACTACAGGTGTATCATAATCTACAATATCATACACTGCATGTGTATCATGGTCTACATTATCATATACTTCAGGTGTATCATGGTCTACAGTATCACACATTACAGGTGTATCATAATCTACAGTATCACACACTACATGTGTATCATTATATACAGTAACACACACTACAGGTGTATCATAGTCTACAGTATTACACACTGCAGGTGTATCATTATATACTGTATCACACGCTACTGTTGTATCATGGTCTACAGTATCACATTCTACAGGTGTATCATGGTCTACAGTATCATATATTTCAGGTGTATCATGGTCTACAGTATCACACACTACGGGTGTATCATAACCTACAGTATCACACTACATGTGTATCATTATATACAGTAACAGACACTACAGGTGTATCATAATCTACAATATCATACACTGCATGTGTATCATTATATACAGTATCACACGCTACTGTTGTATCATGGTCTACAGTATCACATACTACAGGTGTATCATGGTCTACAGTATCACATACTACAGGTGTATCATAGTCTACAGTATCACATTCTACAGGTGTATCATGGTCTACAGTATCACATACTACAGGTGTATCATAGTCTACAGTATCACATACTACAGGTGTATCATGGTCTACAGTATCATATACTTCAGGTGTATCATAGTCTACAGATTTGAGTAGCAAATTAGTTGCAACATGCAGTGGTAGCAAGGATATTGCTATCAAGAAGGAAAACTTCACGATCGGATAGACGAAATTGTCCCGCTTATCGTCCCGCTTAGTAGTAAGCCGTTCCAGTTGGACATGTTGGAAGTAAAGATCGGGAAAAGCGTCTAAAGTAGATTAGTTCGTGGTGTCCTTGAATTCCAGCTTTGGATTGTATATGCAATTGATGTGGTCAATGGATGTCTTGTTATTCACAGACAGCATAGCGTCAATATTTCTGAATGTGAAATTGAAGGACTAGGTTTTGTTACCAGTCCTGAAAAGCTGATCAATACATCAAGCGGCTAGAAGAGGGACAGTGTTCCCATTGGGATGCCTTCAGTCTGTTTGGAAACAAACAACTCAACACAGATATTGTTACCGCGAACTCAGTAATGTTTACAACATCGTCTTCAGTATATTTCATTTTGGCCTTTGTTGTATTTTTGCAACAAAAAAACAATTTACAACCATATATTTATATCGCCGTACGCCTTTCTCTGAAAAGAAAGTTCCTTCAGTTTGGTATGAGGAAAGGCAGCATAAAGGATCGAAAGGTCAAAAGTTTTGACAGAGGAAACATTTTTGAAATCCACATACCGTTCATTCCATTTCTTGAGTATACAGTATCACAAAAAGACTGCGATAATAGTACTGACAATGGTAGTGAGAAGTTTGGATAATGGCTTGGTTGACAGCGATAAAACGTTGTTCATAAGGATTCTTGTTGATTGTGGTTCGGACATCGGAGTCAAGAAATGCAAACTTGTATTTTGTTTTCTTTTTATATTTCAAGCATCTTATTCCTTTTTGAATGATTGACATGGTGGATTTGACCCACTTTGAAAGTGAGTCCAATTCAGCATGCACTCCTTTTGCCTTTTGTCTGGCGTAGTCTTTCACAGAATTCATAAGTATTTTGATATTAACATCCTAGTTGATAGCCGGATTCCCCCGATATTTAGGACTCTTCATGAAATTGCACTATGGATATTTTTTAGATTGCCGGTGACTACATGTCTAGCTGGGCGATAGTAATATAGGGACGTGGAGCAAGAACATAATGAAAGAGGAGCTATTCTAAGGTCATCTAAGTTCAGCTGCTGTGGAATTTGCTTGTAGTTGAAAATATTGGAAGCCATAGGTTAAAAATATACATGTGGTACTTTCGTATCTGAAGCACGATGGAATGTAAGCTAGGACGGACATAGATCCACTTGTTTGCGAATTCCACTTCCATGAAATCCCGCTATACCGGTAAGTGGTTATCAGTTCGTACAGGTTAAACAAGTCCAACGTTTGTTACAACCTCAATGAAATTTATGATATTTATTTGTTCAATGTTTCGATATTAGTAATTTTTTGAGTTGCGTAATCCTGTTCATACCCCAGGAATTTATATTTGAAGGACTTTTTATCCCCCGCTTTCATCGAAACGGGGGATAATAATTTGGGTGTGTCTGTCTATCTGTCTGATTTTTTTCAAACTTGGTAACCGGGTTAAATGCCTTAAAGTCTCGGCCAAGTTTGTTGACCACTCTCAGCGGACTTTTTTTAGCGGAGATATGGCCCCTTGAATAACGGAAAACGTCATTATCTGCCGTTTCCGTGCAATACCTGCAACAGATTTTAACCGATTTTCTTCAAACTTGGTACTAGGGTTAAATGCATTAAGGTCTCGGCCAAGTTTGTTGACCACTTTCAGCTGAGTTGTTTTGGCGGAGTTATGACCCCTTGAATAACGAAAAACATCATTATCTGCCGTTTCCGTGCAATAACTGCAACAAATGTTAACTGATTTTCTTCAAACTTGGTACTAGGGTTAAATGCCTTGAGGGCTCGGCCAAGTTTGATGACAACTTTCAGCAGACTTTTTTAGTGGAGTTATGGCCCCTTGAATAACGAAAAACGTCATTATCTGCCGTTTCTGTTCATTTATTCTAGCAAATATTATCCGATTGTCTTCAAACTTAGTAACAGGGTTCAACGCATTAAGGGCTCGGCCATGTTTGACAACCACTATAATCGGACTCTATTTGGCGGAGTTAGGGCCCCTTGATTAACAAAAAACGTCGTTATTTGCAGTTTTCGCTTAATAACTCTAGCAAATATTAGCCAATTTCCTTAAAACTTGATAACAATGCTCTATTTCTCTGTCTTTCCACCCATCTCGGGCACTCTTTCGTTTTCGTGTGATAATTGCTGTAGATATTGTGCAGATATTTCAACCAAATTTATGACAACCGATGTGATTTGTGCATATTTACGGATAATTAATGAAGTATAAGGCTGTTTTTCTTCGAGTTTCAAGCAAAACATATGTCCCAACAGCACGATATTCACATGTTTAATAATGTTTTTCTACAATATGTCCTGCAAACGGGAGATATAAATTCTACGAATTTGCTTGTTTACATATTTTGACGTCAACCTACGGCATAACGAAAATGTTGAACTAACTCTCAAACTTAATGACACTGACCTACAATATGTCAATAATAATCACTACCAAACTGACTCATATAAGAAATTACTCAAGGTCTTCAATCTGCAAAAAATCTTTTTGTTTTACTGGAAGCTATCTGCTCCATATTTACTAATCAATCGCCGTTATGTTTTTTGCTATTTTATGTCTACATTAGACAATTTTATTTTGCCATTATAAAGTATCAAAATGTATGTACTGCTTTCTTAAGTTGTCTTCATTAAAACTAATATGTAAGTGGATATACAAAAATCAACCTGTTACGTGGGTGGCAATGCACTGTATTGGTATATACACTTATTAAAAGATTGGGCAACTCGGTAAGTTACACGGCAAGGTGTACAGTATTCGTGTATTCATTTTGACTTTGCGGACCAACGAAGCAGAAACATCACTATATCAGGGTTTACTTGTTGCTTCCACATGCACTTATTTGTTTAGAAGAAGGCGGGACAAGTGCCATGTAACGTGAACATACCCAGAACAAATATGGTAAGTGATAAAACATATGTTTATTTTTGTTTTTGTTCTATATAACATTTTCTTTATTTGTTTTTAATTCAAAACCGATTTGCTGGTGGACTATCAGTCCCCGGCATTGCCTAGTAACTATGATAAACCATCTGCTGTGGCCAACAGCCGTAAATAACGTTATCAAAGGCTGTGTATGAACTTTTCCATGTTGGCTGTATTCTACAAATGATTTGAAACACTTTACAAACTGTTTTCCATTGTTGACCTATATAGTACCATTGACGAGTCTCAAATGAACGAAACGGCCGTATGGTGCAGCAACATGTTTGATTTATCTTTTGTTTTCTGGGAACTTTATTTTAAATTATAATTATATACAAAATTTTATAGAGCGCCCTATCTAGCTAGAATAAACCACTCAAAAGTGCGCTTTCTAGTACATAGATGTACAATTTATACAATCAATACAATTTTGAGGAATTCGCAGGAGCTGCCGTATCAGGCGCTAACTACTAGTCATATGCCACCAAGCTAATATCTCCCTATGTATATCTGCGTGTGTGCTTGAGGTGTATTGAAAATAGGTGATTCTTCACTGTGTATTTTCGTTACTGTTTCATGTGCAAAAATACTTGCAATGAGCTCGGCCTTGATTGTTATTCAAACAAATGACCTATTTTAAATAGCGGTAATACTTTATTTCCCATGTAAACTGTTCCGAAAGTATTGTTGTTTTTATTACTTTTCGTCCCATGCACAACACATATCCTACCCTTCTTAATGTAATTATTATGGAACAAATATTATGCTTCAATGTTTTTAACGTAATAAAGACGTGACATAGGAGTTAACATTTTTAAATGTAATTGCTAAACAATTAAAATGAAGTCATTATAGCTGTATTAAAGACGGATGGGTTATATTACAAATGTAACGTAAATGTCAACTACCGGGATTTGCAAATATTTTATTTCTTGACATAAAGTAAGAGGCAAAATGCCACTTACCCAGGTGATAAATCGTGCTAAAATTATTGAGTTCGCAACACGATTTCTCACCCCTTCACGATTTCTCACCCGGTGATAAATCGTGTTAGGGGTAGGTATATTACCCGTTGCCATGAGTACGAACACTGATTTTATTTTGGGGGATTGTTGTATATTAAGGCTTGTTTATTAAGAAACTACTGCACAAACTACAAACTACAACTTGTTCGAACTTCAAATTTTATGCCAAACCGCAGCGTTCGTCGTCCGTCCGTCCGTACGTCTGTCCATCCGTCAACTTTTTCCTATAAAACGCTACTTGTCCTGAACGACCTAGTAGATTTGAACTGAATATGGCCTGGAGCATCCTTAGGCCAAGGGAACTCATTTTTGTATAAACGGTGGGTGTGACACCTCTGGGGGCAGAGAAGCGGGGCCCCATAGGGGTAAAACCTTTAAAATCCTTCTGCTACCGTAGTGATTAAGGGATTTTATCCTTATTTGGTCTGGAGCATCCTTGGGTCAAGGGGACTCAATATTGTATAAATGGTGGGTTTAGACCTAGCGGAGGCAGAGGGGCGGGGTCTAATAGGGGAAATAGAGGTAAAACCTTTGAAATCCTTCTTCTACCATAGGGATTAAGGGATTTCATCCCAATTTGTTCTGGTGCATCCTTTGGCCAAGGACACTCAATTTGTTTTTAAAATTATTAGTTTGGACCCCCTGGGGGCAGAGGGGCGGGGCCTAATAGGGGTAATAGAGGTCAAACCTTTGAAATCCTTCTTCTACCACAGGGATTAAGGGATTTGGTCCCAATTTGGTCTGGAGCATCCTTAGGCCAAGTATATTTAATCTTGTTAAAATGGTGGGTTTAGACCCCCTTTGTGCAGAGGGGCGGGCCCATTAGGGAAAATAAATATTAAACCTTTAAAACCCTGCTTCTACCGTAGGGATAAGGAAATTGAGGTTTAAATCTTTAAAATCCTTCTCCATATGTACCATTTTAGAGATTTTATACGAATTTGACCTGGAGTATCCTTGGGCAAAGGGGTCTTAATTTTGTATAAATGATGGGTGTGCCCCCTTTGGGGAATTTGAGGTTTAATTATTTAAAATACTTCTTCTTCTATACCATTGGAGGAATTGTTTGTAATAAGAAGATATTCGATGCTAAGTTTCCGAATGGATCTTAATCATGGCCTATCATTTGCCGAGTCACTTCAGGCAATAACAATTTCTGTTCTGATTTATTGACCCCAATAAAGGTTGTTTAATTGAATATATTAAGGTGTTCTTGAAGATGGCCAAATAACCGAATACTCGGGCGAAAGACCACGAACCGGTTACCAAAAGCCTTAAACGGAAAGTCTGACAGTTACTAACCCCCTTTGGGAGCCCCATGTTCCCCTGGCTTAGACCTACAGTGTTCAGGGATTGCATAATAGTAATAATTTTATACTCTAATTTAAATACTGACAACGAGATGTCCCCAACACCATAAACAAATCTAAACAGATTTTACAAGGAAGCCAGAATACAAAGTTATGACATATCAACTGAGATAGAACGCGCCTTTACATGCGAGACGTAAACATAATCTGAGTACACACTTGAATGAGCTAGCATGTTTTAAAACGTCTGTCAAGCACATTTTGTTCTAAAGAAAAACATTACCGCACATGATTTCGATTCAGATAACTGTAATTGAAGCCGTCTTACTGCATTCCGACATTCGTTGTCCATGGGACATACATACTGAGGTTACATGCAATTATTTCCTGTGTTACCTTGAAATCTACGAGTAAAATATCATGCTAATTAATATTGCATGTATGTTTATGGTGTAAATACGTTTTAGATAGAACATTTTCCTTACATAATAGGTCTTTTTTGCTGTTTATTATTTGACGACCAAATAGACCAATTAACCGATTACTCGATCGGTAGATTGTTCGAGTAATCGGTGTCAAAAATAAGACAACCTTAGTATTATGGCATTGCGATCATTTTCTGATGCATCACTTGCGACTACTGGGTTAGTTTTGGCACCTTATGGTGTAACGGTTCCTGTCACGAGTAGATATTGTTATACTTTATAATAAAAAAAGGAAATGTATGTACCCTTCCAGCGCAATGAGTTCATACTGTGTACACATTCGTGTCCTTTGTTCGTTTGGCCAAAGAAAGATGTTAGATATGACTTGCATACTATTTTATATACGGTATATCTCCCGCAAATTGTCTTTTGAAAACCTTTCTATGTTAAGGATATTTAGCGGAATGAAAAGTATATGAATAATAGATAAATAGAAAAATACAGGTACTGCCATAACATAAAAAGAAGTAGTGGTGTTAATTCTCTAATAATAATAATAAATAATGTACATCATTTATATAGCTCCCTATGTAATTTGTAAAATTACTCTTAAGCGCTTTACAACATATGGATATTAGTATATAATTGTGAAATAAAAACAAAGGCTTATAATCACTTTTATACATTAAGCAAGCAGATAATCATCACAATGAGCACATAAATGAATAAATAAAGGGTGGTATTTACAGGACGATTTTGCAAAGAGCCTAAAATGTAGACATGAAGAGGTGAGTTTTGATGTCTTTCTTTAATTTAACCAGGGTATTTGACTTTCTAATAGCAGATGGTAAGCTATTCCACAACGTGGCCGAAACCCTCCAAAACTACCGATTTCTATATATCGCAGTACGAGATTTTTGGACACACAACAATGATTCTGACTCCGACCGCAGTGATCGTGACGGCTGATACAGGGTAACAAGCTCATGTAGGTCCGGGGGAGCTGTTCCATTCAGTGCCTTGTATGTGTATACCAGAATTTTGTACTGCGACCTGTATCGTACAGGTAACCAGTGCAATGAATATAGCACAGGTGTGATTTGCTCTCTCTTTCGAGTACGGGTAACCAGCCGTGCTGCAGTGTTTTGGACCCTCTGCAGACGACTAGTTAGTTTGTCAGATATACCACAGAGCAGGGCGTTACTATAATCCAACCGAAAGGTAACAAGTAAATGCACCAACATATTGCATGCATCTGCAGTTATAAACTGCCGGATACAGGCGATGTTCCTGATCTGGTAGTAGCAGGATTTGGCAATAGCGTTCACTTGTTTCTCCATGTTCAGTGAACTATCAAAATATACCCCTAGGTTTTTAACAGCTGGGACAGTCTCAATAGTTCTGGCACCGACCTTGAGCTGAATAGCCATTGTTTGTTGACACTTTGGGGAAAAGACAATTAGTTCCGTCTCGTCCTGATTAAGATTTAGCATGTTGACGTTCATCCAGGTACAGATATCTGTCAGACAAGCTTTCAGATTTTCTGATATTGTATCACAACTGTCCTGTGGTTTGATGACCATTACATTTATTGTGTGTCATCAGCATAGCAACGATAGCAATGGCTATGGCGACAACAAATCTCTCCGATTGGTTTGGAGTACAGGCAATATTTTTGTGGTCCTAACACAGACCCTTGAGGAACCCCGCAATCTAGTACATTGTCATGTGAGGTGGTAGATCCGATGGCAACACACTGTCGTTGTTCACTCAGATAAGACTGTATCCAGCATAGTACTTCAGACGTTTATAAAGTATGCCATGGTCGATGACGTCAAATGCAGCTGACAAATCCTGCATGGCAAACACCGCTCTGCACTTGTTATCCAATGCAGAAGCTATGTCATTATGTACACGTAGGAGGGCCGTAAGTAGTGCCCAATGCGGTAAGCCGATTGCAGGTTGTCATGGAGATTGTTTGCATGGAGATGAACATCTAAACACCGGGAATCACAGAAACTGCTTGGTATAGCTTATATCGCAAGTTTACGGTTAATTCAAACTGGTTTAAAAAAACAATCAACCTACTAAAATAAAACATGCTCTTTACACTAATATATTTATGTTTATAATTGCTCAGGTGCGGTACCGTACGCATCATTACTGTGACTTGGTTTTCCATCATTACATACAAACTCGGTAACTCCAAATATGGAATGAGTACCTGTAAGATGTTGCTACGCTTGCTATTATCCTTTTTGTAATTAAGATATCTTCATGTTTGGCTAATTCTAAAAGACTTGTTATGAACTTATTCATACGGGTAAATGACGTGGAAAGTTTTCCTATAATTTTATATTTTTTATGAAAGGTTTCTCTATAACACGACATCAATAGAGTAATTCGCTTCTTTGTTTTATACAAACAAGTCAAGAAAAGATAAAAAAATATTCAGAAAAGTCTTATATCGTGGCATGGCACTATATAGATAAAGGGTAAAGCTCGATCAAGCTCAAGATGTGGATTAATTTAAGTTCGTTAATCCCAAGTTGCCAGCCTTCTTATAGGAAAATTAAGAAAAAAACTATGAGTTAGTCTGATTTTGATTTCTTCGTTATATATGTATACACGTCGGGTATATGTTGGTGTGAATTAGATATGATATCTACCTGAGAATAAATAGGCAATGACCACCCACTGACCTTTCACTTGTGGTCATATGGGATTATAATAGACTGTACCTATTATTTAATACCTTGTGTGAAGGCAATTAATCCTGTCAATTAACCCATTGTCTGTCCAGTAGATACATAACATAGGTAGTTCAGTAATCGCTTACAGGTAAGATACTGTGTCTGTCCCTTTGTCAAAAATGACAGCCTCAGGAACAATTCTATTTCAAAACAGTATAGTAGTGTTTCACACTACCTTATCCTTTAAATGGTTTACAAATTGGGTGTTACATAGATAGTCAATGCTAATTGATAACACACCCCTGCATCAATTAATGAATCCACTGAACCATGACAGAGTCTTTTGTACATGTACGTGCAGTGGTCCATGATAGCCACAGGGCACAGGTGTTACATTAAAGAACTAGAAGGACAATTAGGACATTTTTAAGGTTAAATCAATAAAAAAATGTTAGCACTTTTTTGAAAACACACTCAAATCTGTTCTTGAAGAAAAAATATCCAAGATCTCAGAGCAGTTATCATTTATGGTTAATTCATCATTTTTTAAAACAGAATTTCATATATATATATATATAGTAGATAATAAATAAATAAGTCCTTGCGAAGGAAAATATAGAATAAAAACAAATTTTTCAGATCGTCCGCTAGGCCTTTCTGCCTTCTAGGGCTTCTTCAGGCGGATTGATGTTTATTTATCACCGTTGGTTACATGACGTCATCAATATTTGTATAGTCAACAATTTTAGTGACGTCATAAATAAACAAGCATAGTGACGTCACAAGCAATACCAAGACAAAGAAAACATCTACATACAATACATTGCAAAAATCATTGTGCATTCAGGCTGGGTTTGAGGACTTTTATAAACATATTTTCTTTAATTTCTCTTGCAACTACATCGTCGCTATTCAGTTTGTAAATAGGTAACACATGAAAAGCATCTTTAGAACATCGATGCATATGTTTGCTAACTTTTAAAAATCTTAGTTCATTGTCCTTCATTTGTTGTCTATGTACATTCATTCGTATTCTCAATTCACATCCGGTCTGTCCGATATAAAATTCACCACATTGTTTACGGTATTCTTTATGCATAGATCATCTACTCCTGGGATAGTCGATCTGATAATACCATAAGGTGTTTATTTTGATTGGAAAATAATAGATTTTTTTTTATTTTTTAGACATTTTTAAAGTTTATTCTTATATTTCATTTTCATAGTAAACATAAATTTAATATAATGTCATACAAGAAACACGGACTAGAAAACTCCACACTTCCTAGAATCAATATTTTTTTCTATCTATTTTTTCTTCAGAAGTCTAAGTTTACTTAATAACTTTAAAAAATATAAAAAGAGACCATTGAAGAAATAATAAAATCCCCTTAAAATACATATCATTCATGATTGGTGCATAGGGATGTCTTTAGGGTCAGGACCCTCCAACCCTCCGTTTGCAGAGATAGAATGAAACATAATTTCTACAACTTGGGTGTATACGGTGGTTTAATGTCTCCCCCCTACCTTCTACTTGTCCAGGAGGTAAATGTAATTTGACATCAGACCCTATACCTTGCGTAATACACACACCCTCAGGGCATTTCAACCCCTGCAGTTTCTCCTGTGCTAGCTACAGATTTCAGACAGGTTAAATGTACCCTTAGAAAAGTCATTTTGGATACCTACATATTTAATTGTTTCTATAAATAAATAAATAAGTAAAGGCGGTCTCAGTGGGAAGGGGTTTTATTTCTGCTCAGGGAACATTGAGGAAACAAAAATCCGTTGAGCTGTTTTACACATTGCAACACTTCATATGACGTTAATGAAACAACCAGCTAGCTAACCAAACAACCAACTAGCTAACCAAACAACCAGCTAGCTAACCAAACAACCAGCTAGCTAACCAAACAACCAAACTTATTTTCCTGGTTTCTGGTTAAATAAACAGTTACAGTATCAAATTTACATTACTCAAGAAATTTAATAGTTTTTCATCGATAAACCAAGAATATACTTGTTAATGTGAGGTGTGGGGTTACTAAAGATCGCAAGTCCGAATGTATAAATTCTTGGAAAGTATCGCCAAAACATAGACAATACAACAACGCAGTTGTTGTGTCTTTTGAATATGTTGTGATATGCTATTCTTTGACTACGGATATTGGACTTAAATATTATAGACTTGTTTTCTACTCAACAGGTTGCGCCTGTAATATACTGAAGTATGATCAATATCTTGTTTGATATTCAATATTTCATAAATGTTCACACTATAATGCGTGAATAGGTACTGAAGAACTGACAAATAATTTGTCATCTATTTCTCTGCTTGAAATGATTGATAAAGAATAACTCTGTTTCATGATGACATAACCCAAGGCAATTTCAGCAAACAGTCCAACTTATCGGGTAAGACCAGCTGGAGCATTTAAGTACATACCCATTCTTTATTTCGGTAATAATATGTAAATGTTTTTATATACAGTAATAAATGTACATCACGAAAAAATTTGAATAAAGACTGTTAAAAGTAAAGATAGCGAGACGATACAAAACTCGATAAGAGCAACCTGGCGTACTGTTTATACTATTTAAGTTTCTTATCATGCATGCATCATACAGACATACACCATCATAATTACATACAACTTAGCCACATTTCGTACCTTTCCTTCACGCTAGTACCAACCAAAAGTACCAGTTGCATAAACCGTCTTGTGATATGACAACACGGTATACTCCCCCCCCCGTGTTATTTCCACATACTCGAGGTAGTCACTAGGACTACAAAGTAAGGAAGCACGTTATTATAGAATTTATCATTTTTTAATGTAGAAAGCCAGATAAATAAAATATTATAAATAATAACGACACAAATATTATCAGCAAATATTTGAAATATCACACACAGACACATTTCAAACAGCTGAGAAAATGAGCTGACTATTTTGTATTCTTCAGGTTTGGGGTCAGTTCGCTCTAACTGTGCTGTTTCTGGCTATGCGGTCAAGCTTTGGCTACGAGTGCGATAAATCAGCGACCGTTTGTAGGACCTCCTTGGTGATAGAAGACAGAATAACAATGATGCACGAGGACCACAAAAAGGTGTACCCCCACAAGGGCAAACTATATCGTTTCGACGTCGACAACCCTGACAACGCCACTGAAATCCCACTAGAAGGCGTGATAACTGGCGACGGGTATGAACCAGGGCGACTCGTCGTGGTTGCCAACAACAGTATGCCGGGCCCACCGATCATCGTATATGTTGGTCAACGACTCATAATTGATGTCACCAATAAGCTTCCTTCTGACACAGTTACTATACACTGGCACGGCCTCCCACAGCATGGAACTCCTTGGATGGACGGCGTTCCTTTCATTACCCAGTGTCCAATTCTCTCGGGTCAGACGTTCACCTATGACTTCATTGTCGAACCAAAGGGTACTTATTGGTACCACGCGCATACGGGATCTATGCGATCAAATGGATTGAATGGAGCATTTGTGATAAGAGAACCTTATTCAACCATACCTGAACACATCATGGTCGTTCAAGGATTCAACCATAATCGAAGCTCAGACTTGGACTTCAAAAAAATGCTGATCGGTCACTTTGAGAATCGTCAACCTATGCCAACAACCGAATCTGTGGATGGTGGATTCTTCAGTCGTTTTTTCCTAACCTCAGCACTGATCAATGGGAAAGGGCGTTATTATCCTAACTTGACGACAGAGGATCACAACTTTGCACCTTTGACCATGTATGATGTGCAGTTTGGAAATACATACAGATTCCGTGTGGTCAATGTAGGAGCACAGTATCCCATGCGGATATCTATAGACAATCACAACCTGACTTTAACAGCTTCTGATGGCTTCGACTTCAAACCAGTTGTTGCCGAATCTTTTATCATCAATCCTGGAGAAAGATACGACTTCTTCATTGTAGCCGAGCAACCGAGAGCCAACTACTGGGTACGGACTGAGACCATTGAATACCCCAACCCACACAAGGCAAAGGCGATATTACGTTATAGTGGGGCAGGCGACGAGGAACCGACTACTTCTAGGAAAATCTGTACGCCAACAGACCGGTGCCTAGTTGTGAATTGTCCGTTCACATACTTTCCAGCAGGCACCTTCACTGATTGCATGCGTTTTGATCAGTTACGATCATTGCTCGACAACGATCCAGCACCGGTACCTACTGGGAACGAAGCGCTAGTTGAACACTTCCTTAACTTTGCATTTCCTGGAATAGATTACTTCCCTTCGTCAGTCAATGGAAGACAATTCAGATTTCCTAAGGTATCTGCCCTGACACAACCATTTGAGATAGATACTTCGTGTGATGACCAAGACTGCGGCTCGGAAAAACTGTGTCAGTGCTCCCATTCACTCCCCCTGCACCATAATGACGTAGTGCAACTCGTCATCCTTAATATGGGGGTCGGAACCGGATGGTCACATCCGATCCATCTACATGGTTACTCGTTTTATGTTCTGAAGATGGGTTATGCAACATACAACGAGACGACAGCAAAATTCATAGCTCCGAATCCTGATATCGATTGTCGTGGGGACTTCTGCAACGATGCCACATGGAGCGATCCGAGCTGGCTAGGCGACAACGTACCTGGATTGGAACTCACTAATCCAACGCGAAAGGATACAATTATAATACCTAGCGGCGGATATGCAGTCATCAGAATCAAGGCCGACAACCCAGGTGTATGGTTGATGCATTGCCACATCGAACTGCATGCAAACGACGGAATGATGATGTACATAAACAACTCTTATGGAATGCATCCCCCTCCTCCTGACGGATTTCCCATCTGCCACAGTTTTCCATCAGAATATCGTGCTCGCAAACATGCAAGCAATGGTGGGAACATGACAACTTCGGCGCCGGTTACCAGAATCGTCACACAGATCGAGGAGGTGGAAGTGTTCGAAGACGGTAGGTGTTTGAATTGTCATGTTGTTTATTTATCACTCGTAGATTATTTTACTTTGTTGTTGTGTTTTGATATGAAATATTTATTATACCTCTAATTGTTTAAGACTTTCGAGATATGATATTTTTTTTAGCAAAAATGATATATCCCTAAAACTTAATCATAATGTTGTTTTAGTCTCTAAAACAAATTCCAGGAACATCATTTGTAACTCCACCCCTTTGTTTACTTACAGATGGGTATGGAATGAAGGCGTTTTGGATCGGTATAGCTGTTATGGGTGTGGTATGTCTTCTACTCATTGCTTACATTCTACACCTTCGCAAGATGGTAAAAGTCCTGGAGGAATGGAAGAAATCAGCCGTTGAAACGAAAGGCGTAGATAATCCATCGTTCTCCAAATTTTGACTGTATAATGGAACCTCTTTAAAGTTGACACTTCAGTTGTATAGCTTTTGTGAATTGGTATCGGTTACAGTGTAACTTTGCTTTACTTGATGATTTGGTTCGTTTTTTATAGAACCTCTTTTAACCATACTCTTCAGTTCTGTGTGGAATAGAAACTTGAGTATACTCGTTAGTTTTGTGTGCAGAAGAGGAAGAGCATCAATATATGGGACTTTTTGGATTTTATATGAAGGTTATCGCTGTGTTAGTAACCTTTCCGGTATTTCAGAATCTTGTTTTGGATTCGCTTTCGTTTTATGTTACAGTGAAACTGTACAAGAATCGTACTTAACTGTATTTTAAATTCGATGCAAACATTTAAAACTATCTCTCTATATATAAAACTGCTATTATTTTATTATTGCTGGGAATCTCTGCTCCGAGCATTTCTATTTTGGGGGTTGGGGTGGGGTGTGTGTGTGTGTGTGTGGGTGTGTGTGTGTGGGTGTAGGGGGGGGGGGGGTTGTGGTACTGTGCTTTGACTGCCTAAGTAGTTAATATAATAACCTATACATTTTGGTACTTTAAGCTTTTGTCTCACTTTTGTTTCTTGATCTTGAATTATATTAATGTCTGGATGTTGTGTTAAAGATGCGTTGATTCCCTACGGTTTAAGTTATTATCGCGATGACAAGTTGTCAGTGTACGGGATATGTTGAAATAATTGTGTGAATACTTTTTTAAAGTAAGACGGGTTTTATATAAGTACCAAGACTTTTATGATAAAATAGATAAGGTGAAATAAATAAAATGTAAAAAACAAATGTATTTTGAGAGTAAAAAGAAATTGACCGGGGTTCGAGCCCTAGAACCTGGATTGTAATATTGTCGTTCTAACCGACAAAAAAACGTTGTTATAGAAGTGTTCTGGCCTAAATGTGCTGCAATTATATTATAAAGCAACTGTTTATTTTTAAGCAAATGAACAAAACAAACCACTCGCTTCCTTCTCTATATTCATTTCAGTATCTACTCACTTCCTAACCCACATTTATATCGGTATCTGCTACATTCCTCATCCAAATTCATATCACAATCTACTCATTTCCTAGACATTATTTGTATTTGTATCTACAATTGTACTCACATCCTTGCCCACATTTATATCAGTATCTACTCACTTCCTAATCCACATTTATATAAGTATCTACTCACTTCCAAATCCACGTTTATATCAGTATCTACTCACTTCCTCATCCACATTTATATCAGTATCTACTCACTTCCTCATCCACATTTATATTAGTATCTACTCACTTCCTAACCAACATTTATATCAGTATCTACTCACTTCCTCATCCACATTTATATCAGTATCTACTCACTTCCTCATCCACATTTATATAAGTATCTACTCACTTCCAAACCACATTTATATCAGTATCTACTCACTTCCTAACCAACATTTATATCAGTATCTACTCACTTCCTAACCAACATTTATATCAGTATCTACTGGCTTCCTTATCCAGATTTATATCATTATAGACTCAATTCCTAAACCTTAAATTTATATCAGCACACTCCCTAAAAGTCGTTTATCATACAAGAGGTTTTGAAAGAAAGTTTATCATCGAAATTTTGATCGACAGAATATGTTTTATATATGCTTAAAAAACTGTCTTATTGCCGATTGTATCTTTTTACACTAATAAGCTGACACAAAGCTTATGCATGATATTTCAAATAAAGACATTTTTAGTTACAGAAGCAATTTCTGAGTTATTATTTACTGCATCTGTTTTGCTTCAATTTTCCAACAATCCACTTTGAATACATTATTGGTACTTCATAATCGGTATAAAAGCTGTCGTCACTTTGTTTGAATAAATGTGGTATTTTAAAGGTCCTTAACTTAAACTAAGCAAAAGCGGAACAAAAGTGCATCAGCGTCAAAATTTCGAATGCGAAAAAGCAACAACATTATCTGATATATTAAAACGCAGTTGCCTATAGTTACTTAAGGCCAGATATTATAAGCTGTGTTAAGTACTTACCACATTCCTTGTAATTCCTGTTTCTTATTTGGTAAAAGTTGTGATTATAAATCGACTGTACACGTTGTGACAAGGTAAAATTCGAAAACCATTGATAGATACGTAGATACGTGCGTACATTATGAAGAAACATGTGCTACTCCTCAGTGTACAGGGCCCATGAAATATAATTTTATAAAATCACATTGAGATTACTTCATGAAATCCTATTTATACTATCTATCTGTTTTATGTATAATTCCGTCAGAAACGCATATAAAATAATAGCATGGTCAGCAATAACTTAGATTAGATACGTGTGTGGGTGTATAGATCAGTATCAGATACACAATGGTGTCAATAGATAGATTAGATGAACAATGTTGTAAATAGATAGATTAGATAAACAATGGTGTCAATAGATAGATTACAGATTCACAATGGTGTAAATAGATAGATTAGATAAACAATGTTGTAAATAGATAGATTAGATACACAATGGCGTAAATAGATAGTTAGCAGATAAAAATGGTGTCAATAGATAGATTAGATACACAATGGTGTCAATAGATAGATTACAGATACACAATGGTGTCAATAGATAGATTAGATAAACAATGGTGTCAATAGATAGGTTACAGATACACAATGTTGTCAATAGATAGATTAGATGAACAATGTTGTCAATAGATAGATTACAGATACACATTGTTGTCAATAGATAGATTAGATAAACAATGTTGTCAATAGATAGATTAGATAAGCAATGTTGTCAATAGATAGATTACAGATACACAATGGTGTCAATAGATAGATTAGATAAACAATGTTGTCAATAGATAGATTACAGATACACAATGGTGTCAATAGATAGATTAGATAAACAATGTTGTCAATAGATAGATTACAGATACACAATGGTGTCAATAGATAGATTAGATAAACAATGTTGTCAATAGATAGATTACAGATACACAATGGTGTCAATAGATAGATTAGATAAACAATGTTGTCAATAGATAGATTACAGATACACAATGGTGTCAATAGATAGATTAGATAAACAATGTTGTCAATAGATAGATTACAGATACACAATGGTGTCAATAGATAGATTAGATAAACAATGTTGTCAATAGATAGATTACAGATACACAATGGTCTCAATAGATAGATTACAGACACACAATGGTGTCAATAGATAGATTAGATAAACAATTTTGTCAATAGATAGGTTACAGATACACATTGTTGTCAATAGATAGATAACAAATAAACAATGGTGCCAATAGATAGATTACAAAGAAACAATGTTGTCAATAGATAGATTAGATAAACAATGTTGTCAATAGATAGTTTAGATAAACAATGGTGTCAATAAATAGATTAGATAAACAATGGTCTCAATAAATAGATTAGAAAAACAATGGTGTCAATAGATAGATTAGATAAACAATGTTGTCAAAAGATACATTAGATACACAATGGTGTCAATAGATAGATTAGATAAAGAATGTTGTCAATAGATAGATTACAGATACACAATGGTGTCGATAGATAGATTAGATAAACAATGGTGTCAATAGCTAGATTAGATAAAGAATGTTGTCAATAGATAGATTACAGATACACAATGTTGTCAATAGATAGATTAGATAAAGAATGTTTTCAATAGATAGATTACAGATACACAATGGTGTCGATAGATAGATTAGATGAACAATGTTGTCAATAGATAGATTACAGATACACAATGGTGTCAATAGATAGATTAGATAAACAATGTTGTCAATAGATAGGTAACAGATACACAATGGTGTCAATAGATAGATTAGATAAACAATGTTGTCAATAGATAGATTACAGATACACAATGGTGTCAATAGATAGATTAGATAAACAATGTTGTCAATAGATAGGTAACAGATACACAATGGTGTCAATAGATAGATTAGATAAACAATGGTGTCAATAGATAGATTATAGATACAATGTTGTCAAAAGATTGATTAAATAAACAATGTTGTCAGTAGATAGATTACAGATACACAATGGTGTCAATAGATAGATTAGATAAACAATGTTGTCAATAGATAGATTACAGATACACAATGGTGTCAATAGATAGATTAGATAAACAATGTTGTCAATAGATAGATTACAGATACACAATGGTGTCAATAGATAGATTAGATAAACAATGTTGTCAATAGATAGATTACAGATACACAATGGTGTCAATAGATAGATTAGATAAACAATGTTGTCAATAGATAGATTACAGATACACAATGGTGTCAATAGATAGATTAGATAAACAATGTTGTCAATAGATAGATTACAGATACACAATGGTGTCAATAGATAGATTAGATAAACAATGTTGTTAATAGATAGGTTACAGATACACAATGGTGTCAATAGATAGATTACAGATACACAATGGTGTCAATAGATAGATTAGATAAACAATGTTGTCAATAGATAGATTACAGATACACAATGGTGTCAATAGATAGATTAGATAAACAATGTTGTCAATAGATAGATTACAGATACACAATGGTGTCAATAGATAGATTACATATACACAATGGTGTCAATAGATAGATTACAGATACACAATGGTGTCAATAGATAGATTACAGATACACAATGGTGTCAATAGATAGATTACAGATACACAATGGTGTCAATAGATAGATTACATATACACAATGGTGTCAATAGATAGATTACAGATACACAATGGTGTCAATAGATAGATTACAGATACACAATGGTGTCAATAGATAGATTACAGATACACAATGGTGTCAATAGATAGATTACAGATACACAATGGTGTCAATAGATAGATTACAGATACACAATGGTGTCAATAGATAGATTACAGATACACAATGGTGTCAATAGATAGATTACAGATACACAATGGTGTCAATAGATAGATTACAGATACACAATGGTGTCAATAGATAGATTACAGATACACAATGGTGTCAATAGATAGATTACAGATACACAATGGTGTCAATAGATAGATTACAGATACACAATGGTGTCAATAGATAGATTACAGATACACAATGGTGTCAATAGATAGATTACAGATACACAATGGTGTCAATAGATAGATTACAGATACACAATGGTGTCAATAGATAGATTACAGATACACAATGGTGTCAATAGATAGATTACAGATACACAATGGTGTCAATAGATAGATTACAGATACACAATGGTGTCAATAGATAGATTACAGATACACAATGGTGTCAATAGATAGATTACAGATACACAATGGTGTCAATAGATAGATTACAGATACACAATGGTGTCAATAGATAGATTACAGATACACAATGGTGTCAATAGATAGATTACAGATACACAATGGTGTCAATAGATAGATTACAGATACACAATGGTGTCAATAGATAGATTACAGATACACAATGGTGTCAATAGATAGATTACAGATACACAATGGTGTCAATAGATAGATTACAGATACACAATGGTGTCAATAGATAGATTACAGATACACAATGGTGTCAATAGATAGATTACAGATACACAATGGTGTCAATAGATAGATTACAGATACACAATGGTGTCAATAGATAGATTACAGATACACAATGGTGTCAATAGATAGATTACAGATACACAATGGTGTCAATAGATAGATTACAGATACACAATGGTGTCAATAGATAGATTACAGATACACAATGGTGTCAATAGATAGATTACAGATACACAATGG